ATTGGGGATGAAGGATTTTGCTTTCTATAAATGGGATAAGGCATGTGGAGGTTTGGATATTTCAGACAATTAGAGTTAAGACCACAGTTCCTTCCCCCTCTTATTGAATGAGGAAGTTGGTATAAAAAAGCTGGGTATCTTTTTCTTACTCCAAATGTGTATCCCAAATACCAGGTTTTTATCTCCTTTCTGCTTTATTTGGGAGGCAAGAAAGTTATGCTTTAATCAAAATGCTGCTTTCAAAATTGTCTTGAAGACTGCACTGGCTACTGGCTTACTGGTGAGCTGCGTGTCATTCTTTCATCCTGAGTTCCTGATTCCCTGTACTGCAAAGCAGTGCCGCCAGCGACAGTCTCTGAACGGGCCTCCCGAGAAGTGTAGCGGTCCACGGCTGTTTGACTCCAGAATGAGCCTTGTAGGTAGAGCCAGGTGTCTGATGAGGGGGAGTTGAGGAGGAAGTCATGACATATGGCACTTCTTGGAGAACCAGCGCATTTGCTTGGGGGTGGGGAGCGGCGGTGCTGGGGAGATAGGGGTGGGCAGTACGAGAGGGATGCATGCTATGGGGAGGGCTTCACACAGGGTACAAGGACTGGAGAGAATTTAAGCCTCTCCCACAGGCCAGAAGTCTGGAAGTTGCTAACAGTTAACTTGTATCTCCACCTAGGGGAGCTTTTGAGAGTCTTACTGCATTCCTGAGGTGGGGGCCCAAGAATCCGGCTAACAAGGACTCCAGGTCATTCTGATGCCAGATGTGAGTCTGAGATGTCAGCGGACTCTGGTGAGGGATCAAACTGCAGGTACACCTGCTTTTGGCAAGCACGTTTGCATTCCTGCAAGTGCAGACGCGGCACGGGAGTGTGTGTGTGGAAGACTAACTGGAGGGTCATCTGCTCATACTCTTTTGCCCTGGGAAAGAAGCAGACAAAGCCACTGCGAACAGAAATTCAGAGTTTGACTATGAAGTTGTTATTTCAGGGAATATTAATCCCTGAGAAAACAGTGAGCACAGCAACTCAGATAATAGAATTAGGCTCAGTCGAGTGGTTTTGTTTTTTGCAGAACAGTCCAGAGGGCTGGCTGATCACACATAGGAAGTGCAGCTTCTCTTTCTTGGCTGGTTGGTTGCTCTTCGGGCTCTCACACTGGGTATGCGCAGGGACACATCACGTTCCCATGATTTGGGCATTTCTGAAATACAGACTGACAGACACTGGACCAAGTTCAAACTGGGCTGCAGCTGTAAGAAGGGTCATTCTAGTTGACCCCTGGAGCAACACAGGTTTGGACTGTGGGGGTCCATTTATATGTGGATTTTTTTATAGGCAGGACTGTAAATGTATGTTCCTCATGATTTTCTTAACATTTTCTTCAAGAATACAGTGTTAGGACACACATAACATACAGAATGCATTAATCTACTGTTCGTTATCGGGAGTCTCAGGTCACGAGTAGGCTATTTGTAGTTTATGGGAGAGTCCAAAGTAATACAGATTAAAAAAAAATAATAATACAGACTTCACTGTGCCAGGGGTGGGGGGTGGCATCCATGCCCCTAACCTCTGTGGTGTTTGAGGGTCACCCATAATTGCATTGTGTGAGAGGGTGAAGTTCCAGGAGCCAGGGATTTGGTGGAAGCAAAGTTTGTATAACCTGAGCTGTTTGGCCAGCCAGGTCTGTCCTTGGGCTCTGCCCGGGAGACCTACCAGCCCGTAGCCAGTGTCCCCAGTGGGCTGCCCAGAGAAGTCCAGTCACTGGCCTAAAGTCCCACAACTCCTAAGTGGCAGAACTGGGACTACAAAAACTTGGATCTCTTTCGTTCTGGCCCTAAACTATTCCCACTGTACCCCAGGAGAGTTCTTAATTTCTGACATCTGGAATTCTAAGGTTAGATCTTCTTTGGTGCCAGGGATGAGGCTGGCACTGGGGCAGGAAAGATAACAGTTCTTTCGGGCTTTGAATTCTGTTAGACGCAAATCTGAAGGAAGCTCAGAGAGAAGGCATTTATGGAGGGTGTCTAGTGGTTTCTAAAATCTTGTGTTGTGGCTGCCTGTAGGCCAGGAAGCCTGGTGTTTGTACATTTTATTGAATGTTATGCAGAGATGACCAGAGGAAGTCAAGAGCTGCTGCTGACATGATGGGGCTACCAGAGCTGAGAGGCTGTTCATGGGCTGCGTGACCCTGGAGCTGGATTCAGGTCGAGTCCAGGAGCCTCTGAAGGGCAGGATAGAGACTAGATGTTCTCAGAATTCTCCCAGCTGCACTGTTGGGGGGGTGGGGGTGGAGTGTCTCAGATGCAGCAGTAGCACTGAGCCCGGGCCTCCCAGGCCACTTCCTCCAGGAAGCCAGGCCTAGGGGAGAGCAGTGCTTCCTGTCAGTCTAGCAGGTCAGCCAGCATATCTGTTCTTTGACAAGTGCTCTTGCCTAGCCTGGGCAATTCCCGCTTCCGCACTGGTCTTCAGAGCTTGGGGCTATAGAATCCAGTTACCCAGGGCTGCAGGGGCCCTGCATCTGCAGGACAGGGAGCTAGGAATGGCCAGGCGAATAAGCCACGCTCCCCGGGCCTCTGTGTGCTGTAGAGGAAGACCAGGGGGGCCTATTGACCCCGTTCTAGCATCTACTGAGGGCAGCTGTCTCCAGTATCTTCCTGAATGGCTCTTTTCCTACCCCAGCATGACTCTGGAACATTACCCAAGATAGCCCTGGCAACAAGGCCAGGCCAAGGCAAGTTCTGGCAGGCTGCTTATCGAACTTGAGTCCCCTCTGCTGGGCCTTGAGGCTACATGGCACCTGCTGGGGTGGGTGGGGCAGAGGATGGAGGATGGGCCCTGAGAGCTTGAGCTGCAGGAGGTCTCCACAATGGTTTGAGAGTCCCCAGGTCAGCCTCCTGGGGCCACCACCCTGTATCATGGTGGCCTTTGTTTTACCTCCTCAAGGCATATAGACACTGGAGGGTCTCTGCCGGGTGGTCTGAGGGAGCAGTGGTCACCGAGCAGTACCCAGAGGCAGCCACTCAGTACTGCCCAGTCTCTCCCATGCCTTCCATGCCTCAAGGACCGCCCTTCCTGGGGTTTCAGAGGGCATGTGCCTAGCATAAGGGTTCTCAATTCTGCAGTCAGTGTGGCAGGGGGAGGGGAGCATACTAGAAGCGTTTGCTCACAGGGCCATGGTGATGTGTCTGGTGTAGGGCCAGGTCTGGCCTCAGTTTCCCACCAGGAGATTGACCAGGGCCCCAAACCACTGGCTTTGGTTAAGACCACTCACTGTTGGTGGGAGGAGTTGTGACCACCCTCCCCCACCCCACCCCACCCCACCCCACCCCTGCCCTGTAGGTCCTTTGGCACAGAGTCCCCTGCTCCTAATGCAAAAGGCACATGGAAGGTGCAGTGAGGGGCCACCAGTTTTGGGGGGGGACTCAGCCACTATTCATGGGGTCCATGGATTCCAAAACTTGACTCTTCCCCTCCAGCTGACCCCCGCATCCCGGCTGAGTGATGTACTGACAGATGTTTGAAACCTGCCTTGCCTTTTACTAGGTGACCTGCTCACTTCTGTACCTCCTGTGGGGACTGGAAGGTTTCACTTGAGAACCAGGCACAAGGCTGGGGATGTGGTTGGCATCAGGTATCGTTGGCCACTTCTCCTGTTCAGTCTGCTGCCAGAAAATACAGCATCTGCACCCCAAGTCCCCCCACACCACTCCCACCCCTTCTGAGATTCCCCTTTCCACTTCAGCCCCCTCCATAGTTCTAGAACAGGTATGATGGTCTCCTCTTACCTAAAAATCTCATGGCTTGTATTGCCTTACCTGCCCTGATGCCTTGGCTGCCACCGATCTCTGTACCTGCTGTCCCCTCAGCCTTGAGCCCTCCTCCCCTCTCCTGACAGCACCTGCTCTGGTGGACTCCAGCTTAAGCTCACTTCTCTGGATAGCCTTCCCCAAAGTCCCAGCACTCCCATCCCAGTACTGTTGCAACACACAGGTGCAGAGACAGCATGGTTAGGTGGACCACAGGTCACAGGTGAGGCACCCCCCGCCCCCAAGAAGCCGAGACTGGGTCTTGGTCACGCAGATTCAGGTCAGCGCTATTGGGCCTCTCGGGGGGTGCGTGGTGTGTGGGGCTGAAGGCTCTAGAATATGCTTCCTGGGTCTCAAGGGTCCTCTGTCAGCCACCACAGAGGGGTAAACCCACCAGCCAGACATCTATGACGTGCATGCAGAAGTCCCAAAGGAGACAGCAGATGAGTTTTTGGCTTGCCTTTTCTCTGGGCTCTGCACCCTCCCCATGGGGCCCACCCTGCTGTGAGTGCCCACCCGCCCCAGCCAGTCTCACCCCGCTCCCAGGACCGAGGCTCAGGAGGGCGAGGAGCCTGGCCAGCACTTGCTTGAGGCAGCCCCTTGATGGGAGGACTGGTTGATGGCTGCCACCAAGCCCTAGGGCTGCTCACATTCACCCCCTGGCTCCTGGCTTGGTCCCACCCATCCTGTGACTTTGACTCCTCAAACCAGGTGTTGCTCATGTTACAAAGCCCCCATACTCCTCTTAGCCCAAGGACCACACTCTCACGGGCCCCCACAGGTACGGGGGATCTGAGGACCATGACCGGTTTGAGCTGGCCACTCCAGCTCTGGGCCACCCTCCTGAGGCATGCATGAGTGTCCAAGCTTTGTCCAGAAGGACAGAGCTCACCTCACACAACCGCCCAGGTCACCCACGGCCTGCTCAGGTAACCTCAGATCCTCACGGGTAGAGGCAGTGGTCAGTACATCTGGCCCCCAGGTGTCACGGGCCTGCTCCCTCTGCATGCCTGGTGGGCACTGGGGCCTGGGTGGCATGACCGGGAGACAGCGAGCCCCAAGACGGCTGCTAATCTCCTGCTTTTAGGGAAACCAAGCAGCACCCTTTTTCTGTCCCTGAGGGAGCCATCACCTCCTTGTTTCTCATCCTGGGCCCAGTGGCAAGGTCGGGGAGCCCCAGCAAACCAGACGAGACCAAAAGTGCCGGGCGACAATGTTGGTTTTAATGGCATTAACATCCGGAAGGTCACACATCCGTTCTTGATGGCAGCTTCTCCTGGGGGTGAGGGGCTGCTGCCTCACTGGGCTGGGCTGTGACCCTCCAGTCTGCTCTACAGCCTTTGAGACTCCCCTGGGGCCGCCCGCCTCCTGACCCCCCCAACCCAGGGAAAGAAAACAATTGCACTGATTGACATACAGATACCCAGAAGTCCCGGCCTCCCCAGCACACACCCTGGGGCCTGTCACAGAGCTGAGAAGGGCTTTGGCGTCTGCTCGGTGGTGGTCCAGGGCTGGTCCTGGGGAATAGTGTTTATCAAATGTGACAAAGGTTCTTCGACAAACGGGGCGTCTGGCAGATCTAGTTCTGTGATTCTAAGAGACTCTTGCCTCTAATGGCTTCTCTCAGAGCTACTGGAGGTTGGGCCTGGATAACGCTGTGTTGGGTGGTTTATTTATTCGTAAGGAATGTGTAAGGCATTTGGTAAGTTGAACAGTAACTTCTTTTCCTGAAGAGACTCAGACAGATGTGCCCTCCTTTGAGCTGCTACCATCCTCCTGTGAACAAAAGTGGGCAGATTGAGGGAGAGGCTGGGGCCAAGGAGCCAAGGCAACTGCTCCCCCCTCACTCCTAGAGACCTCCAGTGCCCCCAGGATTAACACCCCCCACACCACTCCCACCCCTTCTGAGAACACCCAGCCCAGCAAGTCTGGAGAGCCAGCATGGATTCCAGAAGCTGGTGGGAGCCGATAGGAGGAGAGGGAGGTCCCTGAGTTTGGGTGAGGACCCTGGTACCCAGGCTGGGCCAAGGGAGGACCCAGCTGGCAGTAGGGGTCAGAGAAGCACTCCCCCCCACTCCCCCGGCCCCAAGGGAATCTGCAGAAGGGTGGCTGCAGGTCCCACCACCTGTTTCCGGGAGTCTGTCCCCACTACATCCTGCCCCCAGGCCTGGTTCTCCTATCTGTCCTGCACCCCAGGAGTGCTGGGGCCTCCCACACCGCCAGGGGATGAGGGAGCCATGGCCAGGACACTCACTGTTTTGTCCAGCTGCTCCTGCAACTTCTGCACCATCTCTCTCTCCTTCGTCAGCTGCTCCTGGGTTGTCTTCAAAAGCTCCTGTAATTTGGTGGCAGCACGTCCCAAGTGACTGGTTAATTTCTTCTCTTTTTCTAGTCTCTCCTGGAGGTCAGAGGGTGCAAGGGGATGAGCCATTCTGTGGCACAGCAGAACAGACCCCGGCTCTGCCCATGAGCCCTGCTGCCCATGAACTGGGAGGCCTCCAGAGAGAGGTGTGAGGCTGCAGTTGCTGCCTTGCTACCAGCATCACCACGAGCTTCCTGTGACACTGGGGAGGTCCTGAGGTGCACTGAGGCTAGAGGGACAGGAAGCAAACTTCTGGTTTTACTTCATGTACACAGCCACACTGATGAGTGGCTGCCCAGTGTGACCTTGGGGGCTTAGGGATCCTGCCACCCTCCATTACCACCAAATAAGGCTGGACCCTGCTCAAGGGGCCTCAAGAGGGCTCCTCTCCCCCTCCCACCCCAGACAGTCACCCTCCTTTCCCGACCTGCTGCTCCCCTGCAACTTCTACCTTCAGCTGCGTGACCTCCTCCTCTGCTTCTGAAGACTCGAGGAACCCTGTGCTGCGGAGCTTGTCCAGCTCTGCCTGTAGCCGACATGCCGAGCTCTGAGCCTAGGTGGAGAGAGGGCAGCACGGTGTGGGCAGGAGGCCCAACACAGTGCGCAGGGCTGTCACCAGATGCCCAGCAGGGAGGGACAGGGGTGCGGGGCAGGGCCCGAGGCTGGACCCTGCCCCGCAGACCCCTGCCCCATATCCCCACAGGCCCTGGCACACTGGGAGCTGCAGGGGTAGGGCCTGACCTCCTCAAGCTCGGCTGAGAGCTTCTGCCGCAGTGCCTGCTCACCCTCCAGGGTGGCTTCTGTCTGCTCCAGCTGCGTCTTGAGCTGTGTGGAAACAGTACACATGGAGTGTGGGAAGCCGGGAAAGACCCCCTCAGGGACCATGGCTCCTGGCCAGGTTCCACCTTCTAGTGCCAACGAGTGCTGCCTTAGCCTCTCCCTGCCTCTGGCTGGTTGGGGGTGGGGGCGGGAAGCTCTGGCCACCCACTGGCCAGCTGACAACTGTTCCCAAAGCTCCCCCTTTGGGGAGATGGTGCCTCAGCCCCAGGGACAGAGCTGGGGTACTGAAGAGATGCTACTAGGACCTCTGCTGACCCCAGGACAGGGATGCCCTAGAGCCACGGTGCCAGTCCCAGCCCCATGACTCCATCCCCACCCTGCTCCTCTGGGCACAGGCCCCTGGCGAGGGCTCTCAACCACAGTTACTTGGGTCAGAAGTCTGGAGAGTAAGTGCCCTGCTGGGGACGTCCCAGCAAGGGCAACAGGGAGACCAAACTCCCTATCTGCAGGCACAGCCGTCCTGGCTCCCCCTGCCAGCCCTCCCACACACATGGTTAGGATCCCACACCTGATCCCTCTCTACCTAGCTGCCTCCCTGCCCTTGCCTCCGCTCGGGGGCCACCTCAGCACCTGGCTGGCCCCTGGCTGGGCAGAGCCGGTGGCAGAGGCTGCCAGTGGCCAGTGTTCATCCGGAACAGAGGCCTGCGGTCCTTGCTCTCCCAGTGGGCGGGAGGGGGCCGAGGCAGGCTGTTAGTGACAGACATCTGGGGACCGGCTCACCGCCCTAACCTCGATGGGGTCCTGCTCTGCGGGGGGGGGCAGCTGGGGACCCGGCTACGTCACCATCCTCTACGTGGCTCTTCATCTCACTCAACTGTTGCCTGACCTGAAACAGGGAAGAAGTGTGGGTTTGTGCCGATCGCAGCCAGACACAGGGCCACTGTGCACACGCGAGCTCACAGACCCCCTCAGGAGGACAGCGGATGCTCCCGATGGCCAAAGCCCCATGGGGGACCTGGTCTGGCAACCGTGACCCCTGACCAGAGCCAAACTGAGGCCCAGGGGCCATTCCTGTGCTCTGCTACAAGGCTAGCCATGGAGCCCTTGCTGTGAGCAAGGGGACCACTGACGGACAGGGAGCACACAGCTAAGGAACCGAAAAGGAAGTGAGAGGCAGTGGACGGGCTGGGCACAGACAGCACTGCCTACGAACCTGACCCTTTTCCAATGCAGTCTACTGTTCAGAGCCCCCTTTAGGGTCTGGACAAGATTAGGAATGGACACCTGCCTAACAAGGTCCCCTTACGTCAGAGCTCCACTGCTGGGGGCAGGGGACACATCTGGGGTTCCCCATGCCCTGGGGCCTCAGACCTGAAGCAGTAGCAGCATCACCCATGAAGCTCTGGTAAAGGTTCTAGTCAGGGAATCGGGTGGGCCCCGGTACGAGCTCCCCAGGGGGCCCAGATGGGCTCCAAGAGGCAGTGCGCCAAAGGGCATCCCTAGGCCTGTCCTTCGGCTTCCCTCCCGACAGCAGCTCACCAAAGGTGACACCAAAATGCGCAGGCCTGTGATGGTGAGCAATTCTGGGGTTTTCTCTGCATGTGACTTCCACCTGGGCAGCATCCCCAGGCCTTGTCACCCAGACCCGGAAGAGGCCATGTCTTTGGCGAGTGGTCCTTGGGCTCAGGTGACTCGGCCCGGATGGCACTCGCTCTCCAGTGTACCAATCCCTGGGCAAGGCCTGAATAAGCAGGGGTGCACTGGGGGTGGGGGGGCGCGGAGCGTGTGCCCCAGTGCAGGGGCTGCCTGTGGCTCGGTGGCGGCTGTTGGGAGCACCCACACCCTGGGCCAGATCTGCTGGCTCCTCTCCAAAAACCAGATGCGTATTTGTCTTCAAAATCTGCCAATTCCTAAGTGGTAATGACTAATGCAAGATTTTAAGAAACGCTGCAGATCCAGTAGCCTGGGCTGTGACTGCAGCCCCGGAGTTGGTCCTGGCACAGAGGAGGCCCGGCTGACCTCGCCAGGGGGCAGGGAGCAGGTCAGCCACCAAAGCGGACAACTAGGAGAACCTAAGGCCACCTGCACGGCAGGGAGCCCTACACCTCTGCCAAGGTGGCACCCACATCCAGCCCCTACCCTGGGGTACGGCAGGCCTCTGTACACACCCACAGGCTTGACCGAGCTGGTCTGAGCCACAGGGCTCACAGGGAGCTGGACTGCCCTTAACCCCAGCCCTGAGCTCCCAGTGCCTTTCCCTGGAGCAACAGGAAGTGGAGAGAGAGCACTGGTCCTGGCAGCTGCCCCCCAGCTTGAAGCCCCTCCGGCAGGGCCCATGAAAGCCTGCCTCTAATGCCGGGTCCATGCACACCGTCCCCCACCACGCTGCGTTACCTTTGATGGGGTGAAGCATGATTGGCCAGTTCACCACACACACACACACACACACACTCACCAGGGCGAGCTCATTGCTCTGTTTCTGGGCTTCACTCTTGGCTGCATCCAGCTGAGATTGAGATTCTAATAAAAGTTGCCTCAACTTGGGAGAGGAAACAGACCCAGGCGACAAAGAAAAAGAGAAAACCAGTTCCGGTGCGTTAGCCTGAGACAGACAAGCAAACATGACCCTTCCCTGTAACCCCGAGAACATCACAGGGCACAGCAGGCCTGGCGGGGGCTCCGAGGCCTCCCAGAACTACTGTCCTTGAAGACTTTGGGAAGACATAATCCACTGTGAGTGAGCCTGGCTTGTAAAACAGGCCCGAAGTCCGAGATCAAACCAGCATCGGGGGAGGGGTCAGGCGTGTGCGTTTCTGCTTCAGAGCAGCCAAAAACCGTATCACAAGTGAGCCCGTCCTCCCCGGCAACGGTGTCCCCAGGCCAGAGAGGGAACTCTCAGAAGGCCGCCCTGTCCATTGGACGTGCTAAGGTCTGCCCCACCACCCAGCAAGTCTCCTTGAATCTGTGGGCCCGAGGCCAGGCCTGAAGCTGGAGAACCCAGACTCCATGCTGGGGTGAGAGTCAAAGGAGGAGGAGAACCACGGCATGGTCGCAGACTCACCCCCGCCACTTCCTTGGCGTAGCTCTGGCACTCGGCGCTGGCGGCCACCATGTGCTTCTCCAGCTCTGCCTCCAGATGGGATGTGTGCTCCCTCACCTGGGCACACACACACACATACACACGCGTGTCAGACACCTCAAGTGGGCCCACAGGGAACAGGGTGCCAGGGCGACGAGTCTGGCTGCCTTGGGGTGAGGGCTGGGAGGCTGTCCATGGCCTGTGGGCAGCGGGCCAACCAACGACGGGCAGAGACAAGTCCTTGGCAACGGAACACCTTCCCCAGGTCCAGCTCTCCTGGGCCGGGAGTGCTCTTGGCCTCAGCAGGGCAGGAGAGGAGCGCTTCCAGATTTGCTTGCTGGGTGGATGCCAGGGGCACAATGCAGGCTGCTAGGGCTGATGGGGTGTCCGCAGAGGGCACCGGGGCCACCTCACACCCCTCCTGCGACGCGGCCAGTGCAGAAGCTGCCGCGCACCAGGGCCCAGGGCCGCTGAGCCTGTGAGCGGCTCTCAGGAAGGAAAAGCAGGACTGATGAGACCCCTTCGCCTCTCTCAAGACACGAAGCAAAAACCACTACGGGGGCCTCTGTAATAGAGCAGCCCACTGGGCAGAGCCCCACACCCACCTGCTCTGAACTTTCAAGTTCTCCTCTTAGCTTCTCTACAATGTCTTCGAGATGTTTCACTGTGACCCGTGACTGCAGGGAGAAGGCCCCGTCAAACACAAGCCCTTGGAAGGGGACAGTCCCAGGACCCAAGCAGGATGGGCCCTCTCCCAGGAAGCCCAGTGGTGCCCGCCCTCAAGTGTGACCAGCGGCCTCTTCTTTGGGGGAGGGGACTCTTGAGACTGAGAAGGCAGCTGTCACTCCATAGTTGCACTTGATGTGGCATCACCAAAACCCAGCGAACACGCCTCCTGTCTCCCAAGAGACCCACGGGACCACCCCTCCACCCTATCAGCTTTCCCCCTGGTTTTGATAAATTCTGACCTAGCTAGCTTGACAGCTAGGTAAGTTATGCTTGCATTCTGGTAAGTTATGCTTGCATTCCTAGGGAGGGGGACAGCCTCCCCTCACCCCGAGCAACACCTGTGTCACTGACCCCAGGAGAGGGTCTCAGGGCCCTCCCTATACCTTCTGGAGTTCCTCCTCCGTGGCGCTCACTTTGGCCTTCCACACCTGCTCCTCCTCCTCCACACTCTTCTGCAGGTCTTTGAGCATGCCCTCCTGGGGGGACGGGACACTGAGGCAGGTCCCCCTCCCTGGAGACCCTGCCCCCCAGGAACACAGCTGCAGCCTCCTGTCCCCTGGCTGCTCTGATTCTGTCATGGTGTCACGGGGGGAAGGAAGGGGGTCAGTCCTGCAGTGGGGTCTCTGGCCAGTGTGTGAATGAAGACTGTGGGGCCCACAAGGGAGGCCGTTAGGACTCTCCTCTCTGTTGGGTTTGCCACCGGTGCTGACCTCGGTGGCCCAGGGCAAGGAGCATGGCATGGGGTTGGGCCTGAGAGCTGGACCTAGCACGGGTCCTGAAGTCACAGACACAGTGGCTTCAAGCCGGCCACTAGCCAAATGATCACCTTTTTCTTTCCCAGTCCGCTCCCTGTCATGTCTGTCTCCAACCCCCCAACCCCTAAAGAGCCAGCCCCAAAGCTACCACCCAGCCCCCTCAGCTCAGAAGCAGTGAAGGCCTGAGCACCTCACTCATTCCCTTTACCACTAAGCGAGAGAAATGGGAGCCCAGGGAGGGGCCATGATGACCCGAGGTGGTGCAGAGCTGGCATTAAACCCAAGGCTCTTTTCCCCAGGGCCACTGGGCCGCCTCCCGCCTGTAGGCTCTGGAAGCTCCTTCCTGGCAGTGCACCGAGGGCCAGCCAGCTGCAAGCCCTACCGTCTCTGCCAGGATGGTGCGGTACTGGTCACACTCGGCCTGCAGGTTGCTCTGGGCCTCCTCAGCCTCCCTCAGCTTGGAGGCCAGCTCCTGTGGGCAGAACAGGGCTCTGTTCAGCCAAACACAAAGGTTTTGCCCCGCTGCCCAAGGAGGCAACTCCGGGCACCCTCCCCTCCTGGGGGGGCAGCCAAAGGGAGAGCGCTGGCCCCGGCGAGGGCATGTCAGCAGCTGAGCTTACCGAGGAGGGCTCTGTGCTCGCTGGCAGCTGCTTCAGCAGCTCAGGGCCCTTCTCTCGGAGCTCTTGCAGCCACTCAGTGTAACTCTGCAACGACACGTGCAAGGTGGGGCCCAGACATTCCCTCTGGGCGCGGGGTCCCCCAGGAGCCACCCCGCCTCCTACCTGGGGCGCAGAACTGGAGAGTGCAGGCAGCAGCGCGGAGAGGGCCTCCTTGGTCTGTGCCTCAGTCAGGCCAAGCTGCTTCTCTGATTCCTCCTGGAGGAGAAGGGGGGCGGCGTTCAGCCCTGCGCTCTGGGGCAACCCTGGGGAGTGTCTGTGGCGACACGGGAGTCCTGCCTCAGCTCCTCGGAGAAGGCGGGAGGCTCCACTGGGCTGAAGGGGATGGTGGGTGGGGGCTCAACCTTGGCGCCAGGTTCTGGCCACTGCGGCCTGTGCTGGGTCACTTTTAAGCCATCTCCATTCAGGTGCAGGCTCCTGGGACACCTCCCAGCAGGAGCCCACCCACGATTGGCTCTCAATCACAGAGGTCACCACATGAGCGTTTGCGTGTGCGTGTGAGTATGCAGACACTTATGTGGATGACCAAGCTGCTGTGGGGGCCGGGGAGGAGGCAGAAGAGAGGGGCATCTCCCCACAGCTACCACTTAGGGGCGACTGCCATCTGGGAGGGACCCCACCCAGCAGCAGCGGAGGGCCAAGGATCAGCACCCCCACTCTGCGAAGGGAGGGGGACCCACCCAGAAGGGACAAGCACTCAGTGGGGGTCATGTCTCCTCTGAAGTCTGACTCACCCCGTCTGGGCTATGCCAGGCCAGACCCCACCTGTCCTCCTTAAGGCTCCTGCACAAAATGCAAGCTAGGGATGGAAGGAGGATGGGAAGAGCTATAAAGCGAAGCCCAGCAGAACACATGCGTCCCTGGGGACACAGAACACCCCTTCCTCAGACCCCAGGGAGGTTTCTGGCTAAAACACAGTCTTATCCAACAACCCGTCTCCAGCAGCTTGAGCCTGGGGCCAGCCCGCCATGATCGTGGTACGGCTGGAGACCTGACGGGGCACCAGAACTGCCACTGGGTTAGGGCCTTCCAGTGATATTCTGGAATGTGTGTGACAAGACGCCCGGCCGGACCACAGTGCCCAAGTGATCCAGACACGAGTCTCAAGACTGGACCTGTCTTGGGTCACCTGGCAATGATGCAGACAATGCTGGTGGCCTGCTGTGGATCCCTGACCTCGCAACCCCTGTCAGACCCCCCCAGGGTCACATGAGTCCAAGGCAAAGGCCAGAGGACCTGGAGGCCAGCTCTTATCTATCGGGCTGTGTGGCTGGGAGCGAGTCAGGCGACGTTTCCCGTCACAGCTTCTGCCTTTGTCACAGAAAGGCCAACAGGCTGCTGGGTCATCTCTGGGGAGTCTCCGTGCAGCTGCCACAGCGGGACCTGAGGCCAGCCCTCCACCTTCTGCCTGGACTTAGGGCCTCATCTGATTCAGCCCTCAGGCTTCCTGGGAAGCTCACGAAAGTCCCTGTAAAGCCCATGATAACAGGACAGACATTCCTTCTGCATGAGTGAGGCTGGGAGGGGAGGGGGAGGGCTGGCTGCCTGGGGCTTCTCTTCAAGGACAAAGAGGGGGTGGGCGAGGCCCTCATTGGCCACAGCCACCGCAGGCCACATTCCCCCTCCAGAGGCAACATGGGGGCCCTGCATACAGAATTACCCACACTCCCTCCACCTGGCTGGCGCAGAACTCAGGACCCACCGGGCTCCAGGGACAAGTGCTTGCTGCTAAAGATGCCTTCCCTCCATGTAAAGGTCAATCACGGAACCTACTGGGCCAGGATTTCAGAGGCCCTGAGAAAGTGTGTGTGTGTGTGTGTGTGTGTGTGTGTGGAGCGGGTGGGGAGAGGTGGAGGGGAACAAGATGAAGGAAGTCCACAAGGACGGCCCAACCTTCTCCCTCAAAGGCAGTCCAGCCAGGTGGGCTCATAGCCCCCACAGCCTGTCTCTGTGACCTGCTGGCAAAGGGCCCAGTTAAGAAAAAGCAGCAAGGCTACATTTCCCCCTTCATCTTGAGGAGAAAGGAAGAAGCAAAGGAAGGGGAGAGAAGGAGGGCAAGGAGGAAGGCACAGGGGCACCGGGGCACACCGTCTGCTGCCCTTGGGGCCCTGGGTGTGGATTTCAGAGGCTCCAAGGCCAAGGCTGCTCTGTGCACAGTTTGCACGTTTCGTGTGGTTTGCCAAACGAGCAGGTCAGGCCAAGCACGTGGGACTCTGACCTTGGCCTGGATCAAAGAGCGTAGCTTCTCCTCGCAGGCTCTCTCGGCTGAGGCCAGAGCCTCCATGGCCTTCCAGTTCTTCTCTCGGAGGTCCTGGGGGGAGATGTAGGAAAGATCAGTGGCCAGGTGGGGGCAGCCACCACACATCCCCCCCGCAAGCTGCTTCAGCCAGGCTCAGCAGGGCAGGAGAACCGTCCCACACCCTACTTGGGACCCCACAGGGAGACTGCGAAGGGACAAAATGTCCCTCCTCTTGGCCCATGTCTGCTGGCCTCCCTGGGGTAGCCTGCTATGGAGTGGCTGTGGTACGAGGGTGTGAGAAGGTGGGTGTCCTTTCAGGGAAGCTCTACTGTGGAAGAAAGAGGAGAGAGGGTCAGCCTGGCTCCTCAGAGAAGAGGCTCCTGCCGCCACTGACCCCGCTGCTGGCTCTGGCCATGCCAGCCCCAGGGAGGTCCGTGCGGGGGCTCCCCAGGGAAGGGCAGGTGGGACAGCCCGGCAGGGAGGTTGCAGCTAAGGTCCCCCCACACCCCCTTCTCCTGACGCCAGCCTCCCCACTCCAAGGTGACCATGGGACCCACAGCAGACCAAGAGGGACATTCTAATCCCATCAAGGGCTGGGAGTGGGGGAGGGGGCTCCACGCTTGGGTACAGGGCCCAAGCCCACCCAATGGGTGTCAGCCCTGGGAATGTGAGGGGGACCCAAGGGGACAGGAGGCCTTGCCCAAGACCCCAAAAATCAGTGGGCTTCCAGCCAGGAGCAGCACGACAGGACATGAAGAGGCAGCTGGGTCCCTTCCCAAGGGGTTGGGGGTTGGTTTCCCGCAAACCCAAGCCTCATAAACACGCCCCTCAGCACTCACGTTGTTCTTCACTTTCTGCTGTTCAACTGCCTCCTTGAGCTCGGTGGCCTCCTTCTCCAGGCACCACACCTGGGACTCTAGCTCCTTGAGGCTGAAAGGAGAGAGGGATGTCACCGCTGGGCTCCGAGTGCCCACAGTGTCCCCAGGCTCTGTCTCTGGGTGCTGCTTCTGCTGCTCGGACACCCACACAGAGCCCCTCAGCTGGGGTCAGTCCCCTCCCACTGCCCCTAACCACCTCACAGGGCACAAGCTTTTAGGAAGGCCCAAGGAACCATCCCTTCCCCATCATCCTCACTCATCCCAACAACCCAAGAGCCTGGGCACAGACTCATGAGGCCACCAGACTTCTACCTGGTGACATTGACCACTGGGACAGCAGAGGTCAGAGCAGCCACAGTGGCCAGGGCAGGGGTGTACCCAGACAGCTGAGTTTCAGGGACGCTTTCTCTTCTAGTGAACTGCGCTCTGACACCAGGTACGTGGCTCCTCTTCGATCTGGTCCTGCTCTGTCCCCACAGAACATGTCAGCTGGCCCTTCCCTGCGGCCACACCAGGCCCTCCAGAGACACCGGCTAGGCCCTCTCACAGGACTACTGAGCCTGCACCCCCAGCAAGACTCCAGATGCCACTGCTCTCCACTGGGGCCAGCAGAACCCCCTTCATCCAAAACCTAACTCTGCTGAGCCCCAAAGGCTCCTCCCTCGGGTCCCTGCCCAGGCTCTGGGGAATCAGCTCCAGATGAGCCCCAGACGCCATGGCATCGGTGAGATGTCAGTCCCATCTTCTCACACTTCTCTTCACACTCAGGGGCCTGGTGGGCTATGACTACCCTCACCGTCCAGAGAGTGAGAGGTGGACGCTGGTAGAGCGGGACTAGCCATTCCGAGGAACAGGCTTCCAAGGCTGACACTTTACTGTGTCAGCTTCGGCATTAAGCTTTAGAATAGGGAAGGTCCCAGGAACACAGGAAATGTGAGGTCTAGAAGTGACTAACCACCTCCCCCCACTCTCCACCCACACCCCGAGGTCGTGCCCACCAGAGGGGGCTGCCACCAGCTTCAGGGAGCCACTGCCAGCCAGATGAGGACATACTGATCTATATCTGCTCATGGGCCATGGTCAAAAGCACTTTGAAAACCACCATTCTAACGCATCTCAGGGCCAAACCAAATAATCTAAGTGGCTAAGGGCTGAAGTCTGCTGGTTGGCCCACGCAGCCTACCTGGGAATGGCCTCCCACCCCCGCACTGCCTCACCTAGTTACTCTAAAACCAGCATCCAGAAAGGCCTTCAAGTCAGTTGACTCCTTGGGTCTCTCTTTTACTTTCTCCTACCCTGAAAACTACACTGGGACCCCTCACAGCTTTTCCCTCAAGCCCCCTGCATCATGTAAGAGCCTGTAGCAAACCAGGTCCCTGAGGAGGAAGAGGCAGCAGGCAGGTGGCAAGGACATGCCAACAGTGGTCACAGCCCGAGTTCCAGAACATCTGGTTGGTATTGCTTATCTCCACCAAGAACAGGATGGCCTGACCTAGACGCAATTTTCTGACGAATTCAGAAGAATATTTTAAAAACCAGTTTCTCCCAAACACATCTGCCTGGTGCAAAAATTAGGATTAACCATATTTACAATGTGACTTAAGCGTCCTACACATTTGTTATACACTCCCTGTGTGGCCCAAGGATTTGATCTTAAAATACAAAAGCAAAAAACAAAACAAAAACAAAAAACACAACCCACCCTAATCAAACACAACCTCTCTACTCCAACAAACACCACGAGAAACCAAGTCCACCAGAGCTTTCTGCGAAGCAGCACACTGGGAAAGGGACATGGAGAGCTTGGTTCTGGGTCTTCCACAAGGTACTGTGGGCTCTCTGGCTTCCTTCCCCAGCCCCCGAACGTGGAGCCCGAGGCTAAGAACCAACAACGGGCCATGGCCTGAGGAGGCACAGGCGAGGTGACTCACTGGCTGCTGCCCAGGGAGCTGGCCAGAACAAGGGAACTTTGTCAGCTGATGGTCTGGGACACATCTGGCCATCTGTATGGGGACGAAGGCCACCCGTCATGCCTCACTGCCATGTGGCTCCCCTGTGGAGACCTGGCCACAGACCCAGCTTCCAAGCCTGTGGCCCTCTGCTCGGGGACGTGTGTCCCAGAGATCATGGCCCAGGGACTCCAAGCCCCCTAAGTCAAGCCATTCCCCCCAGGTGTCAGCTCCAGCCTTAGCAACAGCAAATAAACCATCCACTGAGCACAGCCTGGTGCTGGGCCACCCACTGAAGAAAAACAAGTCTGCCGGCAGTGAAGTTACCTTGTGGCCAATCCCGTGACTTCGCTCCCAACCGCACTGCCACTGCAAATCTGGGCAGAAAGCTGAGTGACACACCCCCCACCACACACAGCTTCTCCATCTGGGTGTGCAACCCTTGCCTTGGAAACCCCCCGACCAGCCAGTCCTTCGTCTGAGACATGGATGGATGGACAGATGGGAGGAGGCAGAAGGCCTAGGAAACACCTGCCCACCCCTCCGTCTGAGGCACCTGCTGCTCTCCACACAGACGAGTCTCACTCCTTAAGAGGGGGCAAGGAGCACTTTGCAAGGATGACTTTCTGTCCTGCCCAGGTCTGTCCCATCCTCAGAGCCACTGGAGGGAGCGGGGAAAGGCCAGGGCCTCTGCAGTGGCTCTTCCCCAGGCGACTGTGCCCCCGGCCAAATGCCCTGGCCTCGCCATGCTGAGGCTGTGGCCCCCCTGTTTCCACTTACCGGGCCTGCTGCTCCACCTGGCTGGCCTGGAATGAGAGACAGAAAGCGCCGTGGTCACCATGAGACCGGCCCCATGTGGCAACCAGTCAGGACAGGACCCCGACCATTCTCAGCCCTTTCTACTCGGCAGGATGGACTGTGGCCTTCTCCCTCCCCTGCCGCAGGCTGACCTGGGCATCCTGTGTGTCCCGGGCCTGGCCTGCCTCCAGCAGGGCCTCGATGGACCGGATTCTCTCCGTGAGCTGTGAGTTCTCGGCTCTGGCCTCTTTGAGCTGCCCGTGGAGACCGCTCAGCTCCTCACGCTTGCTCTTCACCTCCGCCTCAGAGGCCTGCAGTTTGCTGTGCAGCTCTGAGGGACAGAGGGTGGGTAAGGGTAGGAAGCGCTGGGAGGGACATCATTTCCCCCCCGCCCCCCCGCACACAGCACCCAGGGCTCCCTCCCCTGCCTCCTCCGTGTGCCTACGCTGCTAAGATGGAGCTGTGACCACTGAGGCATCTTACTAGCTGAGGGACAAAGTCACTCTGGCTTTGCTCTCCAGGACACATTATGCCCTGGGATCACTCCTGGGAAAATGCTAGAAATCTAAAATGGATTCTAAAATCGATTCCAGCTGCAGCTGCTAAACGTCTTTTCTCTGGGAGACAGGCTTGTACCAGCGAGTTCTGCTTAGGCAGCTGGAACCCAGCACTCCCACCAATGACCCGTTTCCTGCTAGTCTGGCCGCTCTGTTTCCCGTGCCTCTAATTCTCACAGGCCAGCAAGGCGTGTGGGTTCCACATCCACCACCTCCCAAATCCCTCCCTGGCTCACCAGTACCCCTGGGACCACCTGGGCCCACCCTGGTGCCTTTGAACAGAACAGCTACAAAAGCTCCAGCCCTGGTCCCCTGGGCCATTCCTGCTCTGGTCCATTCTCCACCCAGCACCAAATCATCCAAAAGTTCAACAGGTTCCTGCCATCCCCGTCCCAGAGGCCCTGAGTGTACCAACCACACTACACAAGCACCCAAACCTCACGGTGGGGGGTGACCTGGGCCCTGCCCTCTGGCCCCACATTGTTCCAGTCACGCTTGCTGACTTTATGCACCTGTTTCTTAAAGGCCAAGTTCAAGTTCATTCCCATTCTCAGGGGTCCTATGCTGGCCATTTCCACCTCTTCCTGGTCTCGATGAGACCAGCCCCTCCCTTCCCATCACCAAGACTGGGCTTGAATATTCCCTCTGCCTTGGAAAGGATTTCCCCACCATCCAATCTAAAGCCACACCCATTAGAGCAGAGGTCAGCAAACTAGGCCCACGGGCCACCCCTGGCACCCCTCTCTGTTTTTGTAAATAAATCTTTATTGGAAGGCAGCCAGCTCTGTCTGTCTACACCTTGCCTAGGGCTGCTTTGGCATTAGGGCAGCCAAGCTGAGCAACTGTGACAGACCCCAAGTCTGGCTCTTCAAAGACACAGCACCATGCTGTAGGCCATGCTGGCTATCCAAAGCCTGCAGAGCACAGGGCTACGTGACTGGTCAATGCACGGCCATCTGCCTGTGTCTCTCTGCCATGTCATCTGTCTCTCCTGCTGGAACAGGACCCAGGACACTGCTGCCACGGCTTCTCTCCTAGTCAAGCACTGGGTGCCCACGGCAGTGCTCGGCCCACGCCAAGCCAGTGACTATGGAGCCATCCCTGGCCCTGTCCCACTCTATTTCTCCAGGAGCCCTCTCCCCCCGCACTATGCCACATTCTTTGGATGGCGAAGGTGACCTCTAGGCCTAGGGAGACCACAGGTCCACCTTCCAAACCTGGCCTCTTGGGCTGAGTAAGCCAGGAAAGCCAGAAAGGTCCAAAAGGAGGCAGCTGAGAAGGTCAGCGAAGGCCTCTGGGGTGCTGTAGCTCACCCAGAACCACGGTTCCAGGTCAGGGCCCTGTGCAGGGGAGGCTCCAGCTGGAGGCACCTTGCACACCCCAACTCCCCAGCCCAGCTCTCACCTGGCTGGTGCTATCGCCACCTCACGACTCCCTGGGGGACAGAGTCAGGGACCCCATACCACCTCACCCGCCCACAGGGCTGGCCCGTTTCCGGGGTTCTGGCCTGGTGGCAGTGGGACCAGGTGGTGTACGGATGCACATGCGGCACAAACCCAGGCGTGTGGGGGCCTCGGAGTCCGGGCGCTGCCCTTACCGGCCATCTGCTGCTGCTGCTCCTGGGCCTTCTCGGCGTCGGCCCGCAGGCTGGCATGGCTGCTCTGGGAGCGGCACAGTTCCCGGCTGACCTCATCTAGGCGCTTCTGCAGGGCCTCCTCACTCTCCTTGTGAGCTGCCTGGTGAGGGCACAGGGGAGAGGGCTATGAGGAGGCTGGAAGGACGCTGCACCCCCAGCGGGCTCTGAGGCCAAGGACCACAGAGAGCTCTTCACATCCCGCCAACCTGCCCCAGCAACCGCTGTTAAGACGGTCCTGGATTTCAGAAGTCGGTTCACCCACTAAGAACTCCAGGGGGCCCCCCACCCTGGCCCCCCCAGAGTAAGTGCTCGGGGAGGGGTCCCAGGTGAAGAAGCATGGTTGCTAACACACTAACATTTCGACCTCACTGTGATGCACAGAGATGCTTCCTACAACCTAAACCTCCAGTCTAACCTGAAGATTTCTCATGTGGGCCCTTCCAAGGTTCACCCCTATCGAGCTTTCTCTGGGGAAGCCCTATTCTAGGCACTGTGTGTGTCTCAGCACAGCTAACCCCCAGCCGGCCCAGGACGCAGGTACTACAGTCACGCCTGTGTTACAGATGGGGACACTGAGCCTCTGAAACCCCCAGCAGACACCGAGGGCCTCATGGTCGAGCTCAGGACCGCAGAGGAGGCAGCCACACCACGCACCCCCGCCCTCCCTCACCACTGGTAGTTGGCTCCCCGAATCTCCGGTGACAGGGAGGAGACAGAGTCTCTGTGACCCCAGGCTGGGGATGGGAGCCCAAGGCCTGGGAGGACAGGAGGCGCCAGAGTTTGGGGCTTATTGGGAAGAGCCACAGAGGCCGAGGCCTTGACCCTTTAGAAATGGCACACATAATGGTGGCAAGCTGGGGGCCAGAGTGCAGGTTCCAGCCCCAGAAGCAGAACCATCCAGAAACCTTTAAAACATAATCATGGCCAGGCGCACCCCCGAGGGTTCTGATCTCCCTGGTAGGGGCCAACCTCCTTACATGAAAATCAGTGCACAGCCAATTATCCCTCTCGATTCCACCCAAACCATCCACACCGTGTTCCTTTTCAGTCCCTTGTACCAACCGACCCCAGCGTCAGTCTGCATGTCTGTGGTGTTAGCACCTTCCACAAGACAGCTCCCTGCCCCACATACTGTAGCCTAACTTCGGGGACTGAGCTAAAGAAGGGCCCAGAGTTCTTCGGGCCACCAGGATTTCCTCCTCATCCCGAAAAGTTAAATGCATAGCAGGCATGACATCAAGGCTTTCCACACCCAGGCATCCTGCCCCCCAACTGGCCAGCTGGGGGATCCAGAAATCATCAGGCCAACAAGCACCAAAGCCCTGGGCTGAGGCCACACCGGGTGTTGCCCAGTGCACTCTGGGACAGAGACAACCTTCCTCCCTCTGAGAAAACAAGCTCCTGGGAAGAAAAAGCTTCTAGGCCACTGCCAGAGGCTGAGAGGGAAGAGTACCTGCCCAGCCTTGAAGCCAGAGACTGCAGTACCACAGGTGATAGCCAAGAGCGCTGGGGCTGGACCCATGGGTTCAAATCCCACCTCTGCATGAACTCGGGACCAGTTACTTAACTTCCCTGTGCCTCAGATTTCCTTACAGGTCACTACAGGTAATACCTCATGGGATTAGAATGAGAATTCGCCAAGTTATGCTTGCAAAGCACTGAGGACAACGCTTACCACACCGCAAGCCCTTATTCCATGCAACCTCGCTATCGCCATTATGAATGAGGCCCAGGCTGAGGGTTCCAGCCTGAGCCCCGCATGGGCCACCAGCTGTCAAAATTCTGGCTGCCAAGGAGATGATCCAAGGTGACTGTGTGAGCTCGAGTCTGTCCCCGCTCTGCAGAGGCTTGGTGGGTGTGGTGCACAGGGCACCAAGGAGGCTGCTCCCCACACTCACTTGCAGCTGTAGGATCTGCTTCTCAAAGGCGGCCGTCTTGGTCTCCAGAGCCTTCCGCTGCTGCTCCTCCTGCCGTGCAGCCTCCGACTTCTCCACCAGCTCCTTGCTGACCTTGCTGAGCTCCTGCCGGAGCTTGGCCAGCTCGGCATTCTGCCTGCAAGACAGTCCCCAGCCCCCAGCTGACGGACAGAGCAGCCCCGGGTCTGCTCTCGCTGGCCCTGAGTGACGGGGGCGCTGGCGGGCGAGCCTTCCCTCCAGGGCACCTGCTCTTTCACAAGTGGCTGCCCAAGTCCTGAAGCCACTACCAAGGCCTCCTGTGCTACATCAGTCATGTTGAGCTCTGATGTGAAGACCTCTGACTAGCACGGTATAGGGACCATACAGAGCAAAGAGCTGAATGTGTGCTACAATATCTTTTGGGAACCCTACCCAGAAACAGCTGGAAAATTTGGAGAGAAGAGGCAAGATGCCCTCTACTTCACTGCTGACCCAGGACCAGACAGGCTCCAGATGCCAGCCAACTGGTCGCAGTACCCCTGCAGGCCATGGAGGGGGACAGCCAGCCAGCCAACTAGACCACAGCTAGGCCGGAGGCCACCAGAAGTGGGGCGCTGAGGCACTTCACCAAACAGACCCTGCAATACGGGGCAAAAGCTGGATCTTGGGACCGGTGACAAGTCCAGAAGCGAAGGAAGGAGACTTGATTTAAAGGAAAAGAAAGGCAGCTCCAGACCCACCTTCCCCAGTGTGAGGAGGCGATCAGCACGTCGGCGTCCTTCATTAGGACACAAGACGTATCTTTAAGGCAGAGCCGACTGTCCAGCCAAGGGCCAGTACCAGGCCAGACAAAGGGGACAGACAAGACTGCCCACCACCCAGCAAGGTGGCAAAAGACCAGGGGGAGGCAAGAAGCCCGGCCAAGGGCAGCTATACTCTGCTGGTCAAGAGGTATGGGGTTCCCACCTCTGTGCACCTGGCTTTTCCCACCTGTACCAGGGTGGTCATCCCAAAGCCCTCTGCGGGGCCATCGGCTCATGCTCTAGAAGGCCAAGATTCTTGACAGGAGGGCTTGCAGGAAAGGCTGGACTCCAGCTCCTGGGGCTGGAGGTGGGAGGCTCGGTGGGCGGCCCCTTGGGACTGCTCTGGAGCTCCAGGCAGGGCCCTGGGTCACCGACTGCACACAGGGCAGAGCTTCCATGAAGGGCGTCACTGGTTGCCACCTCAGGGTGACAGGTCTATAGGCTCCTCACTTTCCCGTGGAGCGTTCCTTCCTCCCCATGTTCACCTTCTGCTTGTAGCTGCTAAGGAAACCACACCCAGCCCCCCACCGACCCCCAGCCTGCTGAGAGGTCAGGCCGGAGACAAAGATGTGAGCATGCACACCCAGAGGGGATGTCCAGACAGAAGGGACTGGCCTGGGGAAGGAGGCCTTTAGATTACACTCTGACCACTGCCCCTGCCCCGGCAAAACCAGACACATGGACACAGACTCCCCTCCCCAGTCCAGCTCCTGGGCTGACGGGTGTCCCACCTGACTTGCAACTAAAGGACAAAGAACACTTTGTCAGTATTCCTTTCGGCAAACTGGGATGCTCTAGAGACAACAGAGAACCCCGGAAAGTCCCTCTGGGAGACTTCAGGTCAAGAGAAGGCAAAAAAGTGTGAATCAAAGGAAAATGCAGCGGGGCTTCTGCTGGCCAGCACGTGACCGTAATGCCCCCATCAGCAAGTCCGAGCCACGCGGCCCTTCACTCAAGTGAGGCCACTGGGGCCCTCTGGGGTCAGCCCACTCACCGGACGCCCTGGCACTTGAGCTCCTGACAGGTGAGGCTGAGAGCGAGAGACCCGCTAAGCCAGTTGGGCCATGTGCTGTGAGGGGTATTTACTCCTTACCACCCATGCACCTGAGGCAAACGTCCCTTCCAGCTCAGGAAACCCCCTCTCTGGTGGAGAATCCAGGGGCTCAGGCCCACATCAACATCAGACTCTGATCCTGGACAATCTGCAAGCCCCTGGTATTCTGGACCAACATGAGACATTTTCAAAAGCCTCCTAACACGATGTTGTGAAGAAGGACCTGGAAGAGGATCCACTTCCCAGAAAGGTCAGAGGCCAGCACCAGCCAGGACCTGAGAGGCCCCTGATTGTGTGGACGCCCGGCACAGGCAGGCTGGGACTCGCCAGCTCTCCTGGGGCCTTGACTACGTGTGAGGATGCCAGCCATGCACCGGAAGGCTCAGTCGCTCAGAACCAGACAGGGAGGGAGAGTCAGGCCGGAGCCCTCACCAGGGTGGCTGTGCAAGTGCACCACCAGCCCCAGTGCTCACATGGGGGACTGACGCAGGCCACCATGCCAGCCCCACATCCAGTAAGAAGCTGGAGCGCACCCACACAGCCCTGAGGGAGGTGTGAGGGACCCTCCCCAGCCCCGGAGCCCCAGAAATGGGTCCTTGTGCTGTCTGAAGCAGGTGCTTGGCTTACTTGCTCTCCACCTGGCTTGTGGCCTGGTTCAAGGCATCCCTCAGGATGGAGTTCTCCTGCTGCAGACGCGCCAGCTGCGTGTTGGGGCCGTTCTCCAGCTGCTCCTGCAGAGTCCGGATCTGAAAAGCCAATGAAGAGGCGTTGGAGAGAGCTGGCTTCTGAAGCCCGGCCGGAGAGGACCCAACCCAGCCCACAAAGGCAAGGAGGGTGTCACCTTCTCCACGAGGGGAGGAGCCCTCCAAACTGCACAGTTCCAGCATCAGAGGCAGGGGGACCCCCAGCAAGCACCCCCGCTCTCCTCTCCCCGTTCACAGCCTCCAGGCAGCGAGTACTCGGCCTGGGCCACAGGCCTGCCCTGAGCACACCACCTCTGACAAAGCCAGGCAAAGTGCCCTGACTCCAAGCACAGAGCCTCAAGCCACAGCTGACAGTGGCCCCGAGGGAGCCTCGTTTCCTGCCCGCTGACTTCCTGGGGTGCAGCCCGAGCCACGCAGCGGCCCACCGCAAACGGAGCACCAGTCGGGGCATGAGGCTCCGGGCTGGGGCTCCACGGGCCAGGCTGGGCAGGTGGCCCCCGCTGGCCTCGGGCAGCTCATGCCTCTTGCCTCAGGGGGTCCTCCCAACCTCGAGTGAAGAAAGCAGAGCCAGCACGCCTGTGGAGCCTCATGGAGGCCAAGACCTTGACCGTCCGGCACCCAGAGATGGGACGTGGCGCGGGCCACTTAGGACCAGGCAGTTTTAAAAAACAGTGCTCTTTCCAGCCTGTTTTCTATCTTCCTGACTGTTGACATGAAACACACGCACAGCAGGAGGACCACAGCTGGCCAGATGAAATGGCCCCTCCCTCCAAAACCAGACCAGAGGCTGAAGACCAGGTGTCCTCCAGCACCCGCCGGGGTCCGCCCGCCCCAGCCCACTGCCCAGGTCCCGCAGCCCTGCCCACCTTGCCCTGCAGCTGCTGCACCTCCTTCACGTGCTCGCGGTAGCTGGCCTGCATGCGCGCCTGCACAGCCGTGATCTCCTGCTCCCGGGCCACGAGCTGCTTCTTCACCTTGGCCTCCCCGGCCGCGGCCTTAGCCTTCTCTGCGGCCAGCTCCTAAGACAGCGCAGAGGGCAGAGAGGCGGTTAGACAAGGGAGGACGGGAGCTCGGGAGCTTGTTGGGGGGAGGGGGGCGGCCAATGTCCTCACAGCCCAGATACCACCTCATCACCTAACCTCTCCCCGAGTTCCCAGACACATTAAGTCAGCCACTGCAGAGAGCCAGCAGGAGACAACGAGGGGTCTGAGGAAAATCCTACTGCCTGACCAGTAGGGGTCTTGATGTCAGGCCTTAGCCACGTGAAAAGCAGGGGACGCTGGAAGCTGTGTAAACATGCCACATGGTCTTGGGGTCTCCTGGACTACTGGCTAGGCCCTGCTGAGGGGATGGCATGCTGGCTAGGCTGGGACCCAGACATCCGGGCCCCAGAATGCCCTACTCGAGTGCTTGTATCAGGACCGAAGAGGCAGTGGGCCTTGATGGCTGGGGTGGGGAAAGGGACAATGCCCATCCCACCATGACTAGGGGGTCTGCCCACTCCTGCAGGGGCCTGCGTCTCTGGCTCAGCTGCTCCGTCCTCCCGCTAGCCTAGGGAGCATCTGCTCTGCTCAGCGTCAGAGGCCCATAATGAGCACAGGATGCTGGGCCTGGGACCCGAAGCCTCAGGAGGAGGCAGAGCACAGGGTGGAAAGGGCTGGTCAAGGGAGAGGGGCTGGCTGGAGCCTATGTCATTCCTGAAAGAATGGCCATGGCCAGAAGCCATAGGAAGTGTCAACTGTGAGGAGGCTGATGCAAAGAGGCCCCTGGGGCTTGGGGTGCTCTCTGTCCGGTGGGCCCCCACCCAGGCTGACAACGACCCAAGACCCCCGGGGCTGGGACAGGAGCAAATCAGAGGCTGGGGGAGGAGCTAGGCTGATGGGGTGGCTGCCGGGCACCAGAGCTGCCATGTGTTGCCCAGCCTTCCCTGAGGCCATCTCGGACCCCATGGCCTCACCATTCACAGTCATCTTCCTGGCCCTGCCCAGGGGGAGAGCCCACAGGAGTGTGAGGTCCACACCAAGGGACACGTCACTGACTACTACAGGAACCGGAGACCACTGCGCATCCACCCTGACACACACAAGTGTCTCACTCCATTCTCTCAGTAAGATGGGGGTCACGATCCCCATTTTACAGCTGATCTCACAGAGCCCTGGGGAAGATACATCACCCAAGGCTGGGAAGGCTTCCTCTAGCCGTGTGCTGGCCCGGGGCCTCAGTGGCCACTCACTAACAAGCAGCCTGTTAGGCTGAGCCAAGCGAGGTGGCTAGGATCACAGGGGACATACAATGACACATGACAGTGATGGCCTCCGTGGCGCTGGGAGAAAATGGGGTTCTGGAATGCTTTTCGAGGGATGGAGGCTAAAGGAATCTTCATGGATAAATAAGGGGGAAATTTCCAGCCAGCCACGCAGTGCAAGGCATTTGAGGCCAAGAAAAGAGCAGGAGGAGAGGCCCAGGGGCAGCAACGAAGAGCCACGTGTTTGGGGAGCAGATGATGCAGGAGCTCAGGGGTGCAGGCTCCGGTGTGAGGATGAGGAGCCGCTGGCAGAGCTTGCAGAGGGCCCTCACAGGACCACGTTAGCACTTGGAAGCCCAAGAGGGCCTCCTCGGGCTGCAGGGAGGAGGGTATGGTAAAGGAAGGCGGGCCTGGAGGGACGCCTCGGAGCAAGACGGGTAACGAGCAACCAGCAGCTGTCCCCACGTGTCTCACAGAGCCCTGTGGCTTGCAGGCTGGGACTACTCTATCGGGCGAGAGCTGGAACACATCCGGACGTGGGGTGTCTACAGGTGGACTGCCGTTGTGGGTGTGGAATTCTTGCCAAGTGGCCACCACTGAGAGAGAGCAGTAAGTGTCCAGCATGAAGGAAGCACCTAAGGGGCTCCTGTGGGGTATATGCCCCCCTTGCGTCTGCCGCCCACAGTGGCTAGAGACCCCAGGAATGGAGAAGAAACAGGGCATTGTGACTGTCTGAGGCTGCACCCACTCACTCACCTCACCTCCAGCTCACCCTAAATTCAAGGGGGCAGACACAAGGAGCTGGCCAGACACCGACACAGCCAAGCAGCTGTGGGAACACTTGCTCCCGCTTCCTCTCACTTGAACTTTATTTGGTGGGGGTCAACAGATTTCACAGGGATGGCTGTTTGTCTGGAAACAGGACACAGAAGGAAGGCTCCCCAAAACCACAGACTTAACCAGTGGTGTGCTGTCCAGCTGGCAGAGCATTAACCAAGACGAACCATCCAGAAGGCTCATCTTCTGCTCTTGCCATCCCCACACACAAACTTCACTGTCTGGCTCGGGGCCACATCTCTCCAACTGGGGTCAGAAACTCAGGCTGCCTTGTTTCCAACTAGTCTTGAACAAGCAGATGGAGGGGCTCTGAGGAAGGGCCGCAGGCCAGACTGCGTGGGACATCACCGTCCTAGGCCATCTCCCTGGGCCTGTTGCCTGGATAGGAGAAGCAGGTGAGCAGCGAGAGGATGAGAGCAAGCCCCAGAATTTTACTGAAAAAGACAGCTTTGAACTGGGGGTAACCAGCCATGTGTGTAGGGCTCTCTTCAGGAGAAAGGCAAGGGTTGAAGCCCAGTGCGTTCTGACAGCCACGGGGCGGGGTGGGGGAGGGTGGCCCCTTGTGCCCTGTGTCCCAACACATCATGAATGATGCCCCCAGCCCTCGGGGGCAGCACGGACCCGTGACAATCATTCCGAAAGTACAAGTGGTACCTGGGCAAGCCGTCAGCTGCCACTAAGGAGTTGGCCAATTCCCTGCAGGTCCACTCCACAGAAAGCAGAGAAGGGAGAAAAGCAGCTCCTTCATTCCCCTCCCAAGATTTTGCTCCCATTCTCAACAAAACCACTTTGTGTCTGCTGGGCCCAACCTCCTTTCAGGGTGCATACCCTAAAGAGATGGCCCATCACAACCTGAGAGCCCTAACCCCGACTTCAGGTCCACCTGTGTTTAGTCCCATGGTCACGGGAGGGGGCCACCACCGTGGAACCTGCTCCAGAGTGACAGGCTCCCAGACGCACCACTGCAGGAGGCAGTAGTGAGCCGGCAGGCCCAAGCAGGGAGCCAAGGTGGGAATGCCGCCCCACGCTCCCACGGCCCAGTGCTCGGGGGCACTCAGGACAGGCATGCAAGCGGCAGTACCTTGTTGAGCTCCCTCAGCTTGCTCTTGACGACAGCTGCGTCTTCGTGCTCTGCAGCCAGCAGCTTCTCCTTCTCCTCCAGCTGGCGCTTCAGAATCGCCACGGGGTCGCCCTTCTGAGTGGCCTAGAAGTGCCCACAGAGTGGCATTAACCAAGGGGCCATGTCCCCCCGCCCCAGCAGTCAGACTGGGACCCACGACGAGACAGCAGGGGCCTGATCAAGCGGGATGGGGCTTCTAGATGAGCTGGTTCTAACCTGGTTGCACATGCTTCTGGGGAACGGCTCCCAGGCCTCGGCTTCCCTAGGCTGCCAGGCCTCTAGGCCCACTGTACAGAGGAGCTGTTTAGACCAAAAGTTTCAGTTCTCAGGGCTAGTTTTTAGGAGCATGGGGTTTCCCACAAACTCGGACCAATGGTGGCCAGGGCCTCTTCCTACCCCATGGAAGGACAATGAGCCATTGTTCCCAGCTTGGTGCCCACCCCTTAGCTGCTGTGTGAAGCCTGCAGGCTGCTAGCTGAAGCCTGGAGACCTTGGGAGGGGAGGTCTCCTACTATGGGGATAGTGGCCTGAGGTGGGTCTGGGCCTGTCTTCTTGGAGGAGTGGTCCTCCTGACCTCGTCCAGTCGCTCACACACCCGGAGACACCCTTCCCTCCCCAAGCTCACTGAGTGAGGAGCTCCCCTGTGACACACAATGTGCCCACCTCAGTGAGGGCCAGGAAGGAAGTAAGCCCCGCTGGGCTCAGGGCAGGGGTCACATTCCTGGCTCTCAGGATACATCACCCCCAACATCATTAACCACAAAGGTGCCACAAAATTCTCTAGCAAAATCACCTACAATTCCGACTCTGGGTAAGGAATAAATGCACGCCACACAGCATCTCCTGGGGGCAGCTCACTCACCACCAACACCACGGGGCAGGTGCTGGCCTCTGAGCAGGCCCCCGTGGCAGGAAGGACAGTGGAGAAAGGGGCTTCTGAGATAGTCTCAGGGCCCCCCACCATGCAGTCGGTCCCTATACCTTCTGTCCTGCCCCAGAGCCCCGGCCACAAACCAACTAGGCCCCCGCTCCCTTGTTCACCCTCAGGCATCTGGAACCAGAGCCGGGCCCTGGCCTGTAATGGCCTTCTTGTTTCTGTGGCTAGGCTGGTGGCTGGGCTGAGGCAGAAGCCGAAGCATACATGGAGTGATTCATGCAGCCTGTGAAGGGGTGGTAGGCTTCTGCCGAGATAGGCAAGCGGAGGCTGTTTCAGGACCTCTGTGCAGCTTTAGCAAGCTGCTCATGGCCAGCCCACCCGGGATCATTCAGGCAAGGCTGGGGTCCCAGGTGAGAACTGCAACTTGCCGGCCCCTAAGGGAAGAGTAGGAGGGTAGGTCCACCTTATGCCAGGTGTCCTGAACGACGCCAGCCTTCTCGGACAGGATCTCAATGAGCCGCTGGGCCTCCCCCTCGTTGAACACCATGCTTCCAACCGTGGACACCAGCGTCTTGTAGGGGAGGCAGAGAGGGCTGTCGGAATCCGGGGGCCCTGTGCAGTGAGAGAGAAGGAGCAGGGACTTACCCTCAGACCCCAGCAACCAAGCTGGTTCTGCCTCAGAGCAGCAGGGAGCCAGGCCGAGCCAAGGCCTCCTGGCTGCTGGGGCTGTGCAGGCTAAGGGCAGAGCCTCCCTGGGTACCCCACGCTTTTTCGGAGAACTGAGAAGCAGACCACACTACAGGTCCTCCACCAACCTCCCAAGTGCCCAAAGAGAGCAGAGCGGGAGAGGTCCCTGAGGAAAGAAAGGATGTTATCCTGGATTGGGGGAGATGCCGCCCCACATTTTATCATCAAACTGAGCAGAATTAAGCAAGGCATACTTTCCCCAAAAGTGCTTTTTACCTTCCTTCTTTTTCAAGCCAACTGCTTGGTCCAGTTCTTGCCCTGCACAGCCCAGCAAGGTTTAGCCCCTAGCCACGACCGAGTCCTATGGCCCCACGGCCCCTCACACACAGAGACCTCACAGCCACAACCCAGTGGTCAGGAGAGGAAAGCAAAGGTTCATGCCTCTCAGGTTGTATCTCTGTGGTCCCGGGGAAAAGGAAGCTCTTCACACACATCCGGGTTCAAACACTATTTTCGGCTTCATGAAGCCCAAGACCGGTTTTAGGAGAGGGGAGGTTGGTTCTTTTTACAATGGGCCTGCCCAATTGTCAGTCTGTAAGTGAGCTCCAGCAGGGCAGAGTCAGGTGCCAACAGCCACCTGTCACTTCTGCAGTGCTCCTGATGTCCCCTGACACACACACGCACACTGCAGGCTCTCATGCAGCCTTGAAGACAGGACAGGGAAACCTGAGGTGCCCCACCTGGCAGCAACCCCCCTCCAAAATGCCCGGATCTGCCCCACAGCCCACTGACTGGGGTGCCGCAGAGGAGTGACATAAGGGAGAGAGGCTGGCCTGCCGAGGCACATTCGCCTAAGCCCACCTCACTGAGAACAATGAATGGGGAAGGTTTCCATGGCAACCCTAAATTCTCCAGCCTGTCACAATATTTTCACTGACTAGTCACAATATTTTCATCGCAAGTCAAAGCAATTAGCATGATACCTTAATGGGGGGAATGTGGGGCGTGGGCGAGCTGGTTGCTATGAGCACCTTCGTTGTAGCATTTCTTACCCCCATGAAGCTGGAGAGAGTAAAAATAACCACGCTGAAAGACCTAAGAGCTCAAGGGTGTCACGAAAATGAAGTGGGGGTGGGGTGAGCACTCCCTTCAGCCTTTCTTCTTTTCACTGAGATATGTGTATGAGATAATCTCAGTGGTAAACTTATACACACTAGAAAAAGCATTCTGACTACAGCAGAGCCAAAATCGAAGCAAAGCCCCCCTCTAGAGTTTGCTACTAGAAGAAAACCCCACCGTTAGCATTTTGGTTTACAGGTCCCCCCTGTGTTTCCCCCTCAGACTGTAGAGAGATGCTTACTGCTAAGGTTTTCCAGAAGAGGGACGTCCACTCTTCAAAGACACAGCTGGGGTCAGACAGGGCAGGACAGCCCCTGTGAGGCCGAGCCCTGCACAGTGTCCCCCCTTCCTGCACTGTCCCACCATGCCAGCTGCCAGCCACCGGCCACACAGGGCTCCTGGGCCCTTGAAATGCGGCTGTCATGAACCCAGGTGTGCTACAAGGTACAAGTGCACCCCAGGTTTTGAAGACTTGGTATAGGGGGAAAAAAAGAATGTAAAACATCTGTAATGATTTTCCGTATCGACTGCATGTTGAAATGATACTACTTGGGGCAAACTGGGTTAAATAAAATCTAATAGATTTTTAATAGATTAATTTTTGCCATGGATCTGCTTCCTCACAGACTCGGCAGTCTCCACAGACTGCGCACCCTCCTGGAGGGCCAGGGAGACGGACCCCAGAACGTTCCCAAGGGTATTCTGCAAGCGCCATTCACTTTTATGCAAACTTTCTAATCCGATTCTACTAAATTTTATTAGATATATCAGTGAACCAAGCCATTGGTTCACTTGAACAAGTGAACAATCCAAAGCTACGTTCAGCAACACTGAACTCTCTCCTGCCCCTTGCCCAATCTCCTCACAGAAACTTCCATGGTAGCCCCTGTGTTCATACGGACGCCCCTCTTTAAATATTCAGGGAGCCACGGCTTTACAATTTTCCATTCAGTTTTTTAGATGAGAATGGTGCCGTCTTTACTCTCCCCAAAGCTGGTGAAGTAAAAATGAAAGAAAAAAGCACTTGGAAGTAGAAACCAGAACTTGGGGACCCCATGTGAGTTGCATTCACTTCTGCATTTCAAGATCCTCTCACCAAACCAGTGGCACTAAGCTCATTTTGATGCCCGTGTCTGGGAAAGGGGCAAGCGGACTCCCCTCAATAAATACGGTGCTAACGAGCTAACCCACGCCAGTGCGCTGCGTATCTCCAGCAAATACGTGAAGACAGTAACAATCCTCAGGACCGTGAGATCTTAAGGCACTAAAATAAACTTGTCAAAGACCAACGTCTCATCCGTTAGGCCGCCGACTTGCTAAAGACCATGAGACAGTGAATCCTAGTGGGGTCAGCTTCTTGAGGGCCTGCTCCTACGGCCCTGTGCTTTGCCCACCTCCGTGAGTCTGAAATGCCAGGGCGGCCTTGAGGAAGGACGCGGCAGGAAAGCAAGGAGTGGAGAGACAGGATCAGTGTCTCATCGGTGGCTCTGAAGTAATCCAGACCCGTCCAGCAGGAGACCCAGCGAACAGCCCCAGGGGCCAGGCCCTACAAGAATGGCACCGGTCTGACTTGGGATGGGGGTGGGTAGTAGCCTCCTGAGCGAGGTGACCACAGATGCGTTCCTTGTCCTCTAGGGGATGGCTCCCATGCAGTCTGGGCCAGAACTCTCAGAGATGTGGACTTGCCAGGGAAAGCCAGAAACGAGATTTTTTATGTGTCATCTCCAGACCTTTACTGCTGACAGCTACCTCAATGAAAAATAAATAAATCAAACCACTGTGGCGTTGAACACAGCCAGGGGCCAGGACTAGCCTGCAGGTCACCTCTGCCCTCAGGCTATAGGACAGCATGGTCAGAACAAGGGCCCCGAGCCAGGTGGCCTGGGCTCAAATTTCAGCTCAGCCCCTGCCTGTCTGTGCGTCCTTGGGCAAGTTGCTTCTCCTCCCATGGCCTCAGTTCCCTCATCTGCAAAACTGGGGTAATAATCTTTCCTTTCTCACAGCCTCGTTGCAAAGATTAAATCCCAACATGTTTGGAACAACACCCAACATAAAAAGCACCGCAGAATCAACCAGTGGGGCCACCTTCAAGCCCCAGTCACAGAAGGGTCCCAGGCCCCACCCCACCCGGTCCCCAAAAGAGGTAACGCATAAAGGGAGGGGCTCAGGGGGGCTAAAGTGACTCGGCCCTTCCTCCGACTCCCACCAAAGGAATAGAGAAGTCACGCAAAGGTGCTGCCCAGGAGCCAAGCCCGCAGACAGAGCGGCACAGCCCACAGACCCTGTGGCTCCCACCTTGTGTGGGCAGGGAGCATGGCGGGGGGAAGGCTCCATCCGCACCCTCTCATGTTTATGTAAAGCAAGGAGCCCTCTGCCCCCGCCAGGCCCCCAGCCAGGGAGCATGAAGCACTAGATAATGTGCATAACACCTCAAATTCCAAAATAAGGCGCCCTTCTGTGACCCTGCTGGGAGCTTTAGTCACCAAAAATTAAACTCGTCTTGCAAACAGGCCCTTAGGAGTCTCTTTGTGCTGTCAACTACAGGGTCCTCTGTGGACAGTTTTCTCTTCATGTAACTACTGGGATCTCCAGCGGCCAGGTACTGGTGCTCAGGACCCTACGGGGCTCCGCGGCCCAGCACCGCGTCGGCAGCAGCCCCTCTTGGTGTCCAGTTACTAGAACGTTCCAGCTCCTGCCCAGTGCACGTCCAGCTAATTCCCCCGGCAGGGCGGTGCCAACAGCTGCTCCTCAGTGAGGGGATGATGGCCCACGCCATGCAACAGCTCATCCCAGAGCACCAGCCCAATGCCAGCGGTGGCTGCAGGCTGCCCAGGGTGGGCCGGTCCCAGCGGTCTCCATCCACAGTGTGCTCACGCTGTGTACCTGACAGCCAGCGAACTGCTCGGCCTGGAAGGTAAGTTGGAGGTGGAAGCACCAGCTAAGAGGCAGAAGAGACCTGGGATGCGTGGGCACCTCGAAGCAGATCCACATAAGAGGAACGTGGGGAGGGCGCACTGCCAAGGAAGCAACTGCAGCGGTGGTGCCAGGAGAGATTTCAAAGCAGGAGATGCTTCAGCCAAGAAGAAGGCGAGGGCCGGCTCAAGGTGGGGGCAGCAAGGACAAGCAACGAGGCTTGGAAGGGCCTTGCTCTTCAGAGCAGAGGGAAGGGAGACTAGCGTGGGTCCATGTCTTCCTAGGTCCCAAGGATCTGGATGCTATCTCACAGGCAAGGAGCACGGCCAGTAGGGAGAAAGGTCTGTGTCTGGACACATGGGGGGTTCAAGGCTGGAGGCAGGGGCAGAGGAGGGAAGAGCCTGGGGGGCGGGGAGGGCTGGGCTCAAGGGCACTGAAGAAGCTGAGCTAAGGGGACAGAGGCCCAGGTGTCAATCCAGGGACTCTGCCAGTGGAACCTGCCACAGGGGTGAGGTGTGGGGGGCTGAGGGAAAACTCCAGTAGCAGAAACACTCGTTTGCTCGGGGAACATCCAGGCCAGTTCTGCAGGCCTGTCCTATCTCAGACACACGGATGCAGGCCAAATGGCTGCTGCGTCCAGATGCTGCACAAGGGCCACCCCAACAGTGTAGGCCAGTGGCCCCGCAGGGCTCCACCGCAGGAAGCGAGACCCCAACCTCAGGACCTCCAGGCCCTGACATCCTCAATCCTGAACCAAACTCGGGTTGAAGGCCCCAGGAAGGGCTCCCCTGCGCCTCCTTGAAGCCCACCACTGCACAAGCAACCATCTGACTTAGAGACGGAGACAAGCCCCTGACTCCTGCTGGCCCACATACAAAGGGCAACCCCCCAAC